AATTAATCATGCCAGCATGTTCCATATCCTTCATACATGCTCAATATATCTGGTATCACGTTCGGAATATTGGAGAACGAATGCACTCATCAACTGGCATTCAGTTGTTATCTTCTAGCGATACAACTTCGTCAAATCTCCATCAAATTCATTCAAAAATTGATAATTTCGTTTGTGAATTGTCGTTTAGTCAAAACATAATCCTAGAATTACTGGCATTGTATAGAAGTATGCAAATCGGCCAATTGACGATTAATCAGTATCGTAATTCCTACTTGATACAACTTTATCCACTGATCACCTAGATTTTCTCGTTTATTACATATATGTCATCGGGTGAAACGGAACCGACACCCCCATGTATTAGTTCCCTGATCTGATCATCGCATGAAACACAGCATAATTTCTTCTGGAACCTAAATATGCAAGAGCCAAAATCATTTCCATGATTTTCGATTCTAATCGCCAACAAATAATCTGCTCAGAAGTTTTTTGATAGCTACAAACTCGGATTCGCATCACAGAACTATCAGAGAGTTCTCATTTCGACAAACAATATCAGTGAATATTCAAATAAAAAATCAGTCGCTTTCGAAAGAGTAAATCTGTTAATAATAATAATCAAAAGGTGTTATATAAAGCATATTTCAAACGACTANTTGAGTATGTAGGTGTCTAATGTATGCATCCATGTGTACTTAGAATTGAGTGAGTTCATTTGTCAAATGGTTGTTGTAAAAGCATAATGAATGTAGATGCGGAAGAGTAGTGCTATTGTTATTGCAATAACACCTTATCTGAGGTCACATTCCTCCATTGTTTCACCTGAACACGACAACATAACTTATTACAGTCCACTCGTGCAACAGCCGCTTTCGTTTGCTCGCAAGGCATCGATGATAACGGTGATAATAACAATACAGATGCAAAGATCTTTGAATTGATCTAATGCAATGCTGCATTGCGTACCGATACACAAACACATAGACAATGAAATGAGTCGAAAAATAGTGTGCGTACAGACAGACAAGTGTGTGCGTACGGCTATAAAAAGCAAGCAGATGAGAGATAAAAAGGATGACAAAAAGCAAAGGAATAATTGGGATTAGAGAGAGTGGGAAGTCGTGAGAGTGCATATCAAATAACATAGATTTTAAGTGGGAAGGTTGTGGTGATTCGGTTGGTGCTTTTAAGAATAGCGTGCGGTTGGTCGGTAGGGCCCTAAAGTTGGGTCTGAACTGCTGAACTGAACAACAGCTGAAAATTATCCTTTAATCCATTCATCCACTCATCCGATAGCCAATAATTATTACTATGATGATGCTAATCTACTGACCTGATGCTCACCTGGAACTGATACCAATCCTAAATCATTATTATCATATTCACTTTATCCTGCTGTATTGTTTGAACCGGATATATTAATCAACGCAAAATCATCATTTTTGGTTGAAATTAATCATAATCAAATCAAAGTGTTCATTTCGTTAATCTTCATTATTCATTCTTCACACAGTTTTAAGCGTTCCATTCAT